TGTCACGGTATTTATACTATTGAGACACAGGTGTCCAGCGTTTAAGCGATGGTAAAGCTGTTGGATCATAAGCTGGGGCCGCATAATCGAGAAAGAATTCATGCAACCTAATGTTCCATGCGAAGTTATTTATATCTTCATATAACCGAATTTCATTGTAGGTGCCTCTGTCTCTCTCTCTCTCTCTCTCTCTCTCTCTCTCTCTATATATATATATATATATATATATATATATATATATATATATATATATATATATATATATATATATTAATCAACATCAGCCTGACTACGTCCACTGCAAGACAAAGGCTTCTCCCATGTTTCACCAGTTAACTCGGTCCTGTGCTTGCTGCTGCCAATTTATACCCGCAAATTTCTTAATCTCATCTACCGGCCTAACCTTCTGTCTCCCCCTAATTCTCTTCCCTTCTCTGGCAATCCAGTTAGTTATTCCTAATGACTTGTGGTTATCCTGTCTACGCGCTACATGCCCAGCCCACGTCCATTTCCTCTTCTTGATTTCAACTATTATATCCTTAACCCCCGTTTCTTCCATAATCCACTCTGCTATTTTCTTCTCTCTTAAGGTTACACCTATCAATTTTTTCCATTGCTCGGTGCGTCGTCCTTAGTTTGCGCTGAACGGTCTTTGTAGGTCTCCATGTTTCTGCTCCATAGCTAAGTACCGGCAAGATACAGCTGCTATATACCTTCCTCTTAAGAAATAGGGACAATCTACGTGTCATAATTTGAGAGTGCTTGCCAAATGTGCTCCACCCCATTCTCATTCTTCTAGTTACTTCAATCTCGTGCTTCGGCATTGCGGTTAATACCTGCCCTAAGTAGATAAAGTCTTTTATAACTTGAAGTGGACTATTACCTATGTCAAAGCGCTGCTCTCTCTTCCAACGTTGTTGTACATTACCTTCGTTTCTGCACATTATTTTAAGATCCACCTTTCAGTTCTTCTTGTCTAACTCCGTAATCATGAGTTCCAATTCGTCCCATGAGTTACTCAGCAATGCAATGTCATCAGCGAAGCGCAGGTTACCAAGGTTCTCTCCATTAACTCTTATCCTTAACTGTTCCCATTCTACGCTTCTGAAAGCCTCCTGTAAGCACGCGGTAAATAGGATTGGAGAGATTGTATCCCCCTGCCTTACACCCTTCTTGATTGGTGTTCTGTTGCTATCTTTATGAAGTACTATGGTAGCAGTTCATCCCCTGTAGATTTCTTTTAGGATATTTTTATCAGTCTTATGTCCACCCTGATTCCGCAGTGTCGGCATGACGGCTGATATTTCTGCTGAATCAAACGCCTTCTCGTAATCTATGAAGACTATGTATAGTGGTTGGTTAAATTCTGGGCACTTCTTTATTACCTGATTGATGGTATGAATGCGGTCGATTGTTGAGTAGCCTGTTCGAAATCCTGCTTGTTCCTTTGGTAGATTGAATTCTAATGTTTTCTTTACTCTGTTAGCAACTACCTTTGTAAATACATTGTATACTACAAAGAGCAAGCTGATCGGCCTATAATTCGTCAAGTCCTTGTAATATCCTTTCCTTTATGTATTAAGATGATGTTAGCGTTCTTCCAGGACTCTGGTACTCTTCTCGTCAGGAGATACCTCGTAAACAGCGTGTCTAGTTTTTCTAACACAATCTGTCCTCCATCTTTCAGCAGATCTGATGTTACCTGATCCTCACCAGCAGCTTTGCCTCTTTGCACGCCCTCCAAAGCTTTTCTGACTCCTTCTATCATTACTGGTGGGGTGTCATCTGGGTTACTGCTAGTTCTTATAGTATTTAAGTCGTGGTTGTCCCGGCTACTTTACAGACCTCTGTAAAACTCCTCCGCTATTTAAAATATCCTATCCATATTGGTAGTTATTTTGCCTTCTTCGTCCCTAAGTGCATACATCCGATTTTTGCCTATCCCAAGTTTCTTCTTCACTGATTTGACGCTTCCTACGTTCTTCAGAGCGTGTTGAATTCTCTCCGTGTTATACCTTCTTACATCACATAGCTTACGCCTATTAATCAACTTTAAAAGCTCCGCCAGTTCTATTTTGTCTGTTCTACTTGAGGATTTCGTGATTTGACGCTTGTTAATGAGATTCTTCGTTTCTTGGGAAAGCTTGCCAGTGTCCTATCTAACTACTCTGCCTCCAACTTCCACTGCACACTCCGTAATGATACTCGTCAGATTATCATTCATTGTATCTATGCTAAGGTTGGTTTCCTCACTAAGAGCCAAGTACCTGTTCTGAGGCGATACTCTGAATTCCTGTATTTCCCCTCTCAGTGCTAGCTCATTGATTGGCTTCTTGCGTATTAGTTTCTGTCGTTTTTTCTTCAAGTCTAGGCGAATTCGAGACCGTACCATTTTGTGGCCACTGCATCGTACCTTGCCAACCACTTCAACATCCTGCACGATGCCTGGGTGTGCACTCATTATAAAGTCTATTTCGTTCTTATTTTCACCATTAGGGCTCCTTCATGTCCACTTGCTGTTTTCTCGTTTTCGATAGAACGTATTCCAAATCCGTAAATTATTGCGTTCTGCGAATTCTACTAGTAGCTCTCCTCTGGCGTTTCTAGTACTGATGCCATAATCTCCTACTGTCTGGTCTCCAACCTGCTTCTTCCGTACCTATGAATTAAGGTCTCCCATCAGTATAGTATAGTGTGTTTTTACCTTACTCATTGCCGATTCCACGTCTTCATAGAAGCTTTCAACTGAAGCGTCATCATGGCTGGATGTAGGCGCATAAGCCTGTACTACCTTCATCTTGTATCTTTTATTCAGTTTAATTACAATATCTACCACTCTTTCATTAATGCTATAGTATTCCTCTATGTTGCCAGCTATGTTTCCGTGAATTAGGAACACCATTCGCAGTTCTTTTCTGTCAGCCAAGCCCCGATAGCAAAGGACGTGCTCATTCTGTAGCACCGTATAGGCTTCATCTGTCCTCCTAACCTCACTGAGCCCTATTATATCCCATTTAGCAACCTCTAGCTCCTCGAATAGTGACGCTAGGCTTCCCTCAATAGATAAGGTTCTAGCGTTAAACGTTGCCAAGTTCAGGTTTCAATGGCGGCCTTTCCGGATTCAGAGATTCTTAGCACCATCTGCTGCGTTGCAGATCTGACCGCCGCCCTGTCAAACATAACCTGTGGTCTGAACATCTTCCCATTGAATGGAAGCATTTTCTCATTGCCATAAAAATATAAAGAAATGTGAGCACCACACAGTTTTCAATAGACAATAATTTGATCAACCATGCAAATTAGGCGCGGCGCAGTGTTAGAGTAGGAGAGTGTAAAATAAATGCTGGAATGCGCTTGGTTAAATGACTGTAGGAATTTGTGGAGCTTGTTTTAATTTGTTTAAATGATGAATATGTAGTTCTAGGTACCCATTATAGACTAAAGGTTTCATATCACAGGAGGAGATAAAATTGGGCTATATATTGTGCATGAGTAAGTTAGCGTACTTTGGGGCCATTCTTGTACCCATTGCCGTTCCACTGATTAGAAGGCTGTATTGATTGTTAAACTCAAAGCTCTATGCTTCGAGTACAAGTCTCGCTAAGAGTTCAATTACTCTGCAGCACATCATCATCATCATCATTCTCTTGAGCACCGCACCACACCTCTCGCGCAGCTGATGCGTATTGCTAAAGCTGCGCAAGAACAGAATGAGATCACATACCTGGCGTGTCGGACGCTGGCAGCCACCGTGGCTCCGTGGCTTCAGGCCTAAAATAAAGTATCGAGATCGCCACGGCCTTGTCGGCCACCTTCGATGTCATTTCACGTCTCTCCCTCTACTCTCGACAAAACAATAGAAACCTAGAGAACGCGCCCTTCGACGAGCCACCAGCTGCCATGTTTCCACGACTCTGCGCGCCAGTGCCGCTGTTCCAATCAATATACTCTAAAGTGTGGGTCATGCAGCTCGACACCGTTCTTGCGGTGAATGGCGTCAAGGTCCAGCTGCTGATTCATGTCATTCTTCTCGACGCCCTTCCAGTAGAGCTGCGTCATCTCGCTGCCACTTCAAGCTGCAGCGAGCAGCCGTACGATGACATCTGCTCTGTGGTGCTTGCCTGCTACGGCCTCATCTACCGCCCGCTTCCGAGCACCTGCGATTTCCATGTTTACCCAGCGTCACAGCGCGTGGTACCCTCCGGCCCACAGCTCTCCACTGACCGCGACCTAACTTTCCCGGCAACGTCTCCTCTCACCTCTCGCGCGGCCTCTAGCGCAGTGATTCTCGCACCCGATCACGCCGACAAAGTAGGCGACGCCACTGTTGTGTCGTGGTTGAGCTGGGCCACGGCGCCGACGAAGACGAATATAATATGTGGGGTTTAACGTCCCAAAACCACCATATGAATATGAGAGACGCCGTAGTGGAGGGCTCCGGAAATTTCGACCACCTGGGTTTCTTTAGCGTGCACCCAAATCTGAGCACACAGGCCTACAGCCATTCCGCCTTGATAAGACAGATGTTTTGGCTAGTTCGTGATTGTAAATAAACATATTTACGCAGCGTTCTTTCTGTCTTTGTCTCTTCTTCTGTAGTAACGTCGTAACTACTCGTAGTCTTGCGCTGTGCATGTTGAATTCTGCCTACATCAGAAATGCAGCCGCCGCAGCCGGGATTCGATCCCGCGACCTGCGGGTCAGCGACCGAGTAATTAGCCACTAGACCACCGCGGCGGGGCTGCATGACCTTCATTATTGCTTCTGGCCACAGTATAGTACAGCGCTTTTTTGCAAAGAGGAAGAAACAAGAAAGAAACGATGTGCAGCAGAACGCAGACGCCAAACTTTGGTTTCGCTATTATTCAAATAAGTAGGAAAAGCTCCAAAGTTTTGGTACTAATTGCAAGCAATTTTAATTTCCTGTTTTTTTCCACACCTTGACCGGCAATACCGTATTTATGAAGGAGATGATAAAGAATTATCAGCAAAATACTCACAAATTGTTTACAATAACCAGAGTCCGTTGTATCGTTTATTTTAGACTCTTCTGGAATATCACTCGGATAGCCGCAGTGGCAACTAGAAATGCACAAAGAAGATTTAGGTGCTAAGCATTTTTTGCGTACTCCAGCAACTCTGGGCATCTATCCCCGTATCTATTTATCTATCTATTTGCCACCTTCACCTGGGTGCTCTCATAATTCCTCCTCCTGAACATGGGCCAATCCAAAATTAGTACGGGAGGGTAAGATGGTTCGGTGAATACGACTTACTGGTCATGACATAACTGAACAAAATCCTGTCGCATACGTCATCAAACCCTTTGCGCAAGGCGTGTGGCACATGGGCACGGGTGGCTATGTGCCACAGGTACGCGGATTTGTGGCACAGGAGTTTGACAGTTTATATTTACCAAGAAACGATGAGAACAGACATTGGTAATTTTAATCAGTGAGGGTTAAGAAAAACCCGACAAATGTAAAGAATAAATGTCAGGGCCAAGCAGGAATTGAATCGCAGCATTGTGCGTGACGATCAAGTATTATACCACAGAGCCACGATAGGTCTCCGAACAACTTTTCAAGTAGAACCTAATGTTCGTGAAATGTCCCTTGTGGTTTGCAGTGCCGGCTATTCATTTTTTTAAATATTGCCTATTTTAATCGCGAGAAGTAATAGACCAGGCCTGTTGAGTAGGCTGGCCGGTATTATTCTGATGATATTTGTCTTTTTCTTCTACATGCTAGCTGAGACCATTCCCGAGCGTCGCTTTGTCCACACTAGATGTGAAATGGCACATGAAGCCAGTGTGGCATACCAACTCTTTCGTGAGCAGGGAAGTAGGTATATATATATATATATATATACTATATATATATATATATATATATATATATATATATATATATATATAGATGCAGAAGAACAACTTCGGTTGCCGCAAGATTAGAGGTATAAAAGTGCACCGCTTTCACATAACGTGTTTATTCAGCCGACGTTTCGACGGGAGCGCCGTCTTATTCAAGGCATGATAATTGACAGTTATAGTTTAGCGTTAGCGTGATAGCTTAGGTTAAGGGAATGGCGTTACCGTGCAGCAAAAGTTCGTTGTGGGCAGCGTCTTATAGTTTAGCGGGATAGCGGTTTCGTGGTTTACGTGCCCCAGCTGGGATGGTGGCGCCACCTATTCCATTGGTAGAAGTTTATTTTAGTGATAAAAAAGTAAATAATTCTGAACCACGCACCAAACGCGAAAACATCTATTTTGCCGATTTGTTTACATCGATCTTGTTGTTAGGCCTAGACGCGTTCGAAATGGGAAGTTATCTCGAAAACTACGCCAACTTATCCGTACTACTCGGTCATCGAAGTTAATTGAAGGCAAGCGAAGCAACTTTGTACAGCTGTTTGCTGCGAACAAGGTGAATCTTTCAACAGCTACGCCAAAATTCCTTCAAAGCAGGCGTACGAGAGCGCCGCCATGTTTACGTACACTACGTACACCTACGCTACCACGGTAACGTGAAATCGGAAAAATACCGCGTATACGGGAAGCAGTACGGGTGACGTACGTATCTACACATGCGCACTTCGATTCCGGTATCACGGTACACCTGGTGACCCGGTAAGCCCGGTACACTATAACTCTCTATTATTAACACATTTCCGTGTCTTCTCATAGCTTATCAAGACAGGAAGGAAGGAGACAGAAGAAAAATATCAACAACAAAAAAATAAGAAAAGGAGGGGGAAACATTAGAAACAATCAAGAGCGACACGGTGGGATTGGGAAGAGAAAGGATCTCAACAGAGTAAGGCGACCGTAAACGAGCAGTGTCATCTTTGTCAACAATACCACCCAAGCACCCACCCTTGCCCCAAGCGGACATTGTGCCCACCGTTTCTGTATTTCACCCTCCAGTGCAATCCACCGGTGGCTTGCCCTCTTTTGATGTTTACGACAAATTGGTGGGAAGAGCTTAAGCAGTTTAAGTGCATGTTTGTAACGTCGCAAGATATGAAGGAGCCGACCAATTGTGGCACCGCCATCAATATTCATTATATGCATTGGCTCCTGTCAGTGAAGGAAGTTGCTTTATAACTCAATAAACAATTGTATCGGGCCAGTTGGTAAGGATCCGGTAAGCCCGGTATACTATGTACGGGACTGGCACGATGTACGGGACTGGCACGTGTGCTTTTTGTTGTTTACCATTGTTTATTTTTTTTCACCTCTTTTATAAACTCTGACGTTTGCAATAAACGTTTAGTTGAAGTTAAGCGCTTGTGTTGTGTGCTCTTTGTAATAGTGGCTGCGCTTCCTAGCAAGATTGCTTTATAAGTCGTAATAACGCGATTCCTTACCCGACATCAAGCCTGCCTAAGGCAAGTTTGCCAACAAGTCCCAAGTACCGGCGTGGCTCAGTGTTGGAATACTGGGCTGGCACGCAGCGGACCCCGTTTGAGCCCCACTTTGTCAATGGTACTAGGTTGTTTTTTTCTTCTATTTCGTGCGATGTGGTTACAGACACGGCAGTGGCAGCGGCGGTGGGGGACAAGTACGGCGCCGCGCGTGACTCGAGTTTGGATCTCATAACAGCTCTCGCTGTAATGAACGAATCAATATATATACTTTGTGACCCATGCACTGCTTCGCATGCTACTCGTCACACGCTTTGATGGGATTAGTGTATTTGTTTTCTACCTTGCATCTATAGAAATTTTAATAACCTGTTAGAAGCACTGACATAAAATTTACTCATGCCAAGATTTTCGCGTCAGTGAGTAGCTATAGACTCCGTAGCAACGATTCGAACCTAAAACGCAACTGTGGGATCAATAGCTATTTGTTTTATTGATTTATATTACTGGGATATAGTACTATTCAAAAACGGCCGGCCATCCCGCCATTTTAAGCGCTGGAAGCACCAGCAGTGGCGCTACCTTGCCGCCACCTCCAGATCACGCCACAGCTGACCACTTCTCCACAGTAAAGAGTGACGTCAGGCACAGCTGCTCCACAAACATTTCGTCTGCTAGGCGTACACATTCAGTCATGCTTTGTCACCTGCATTGAGGTAGTCGCCCTACAAAGTGTCGACTCGGGTTCAATACGATAGTCTGGAGCTTGGAATCCCCGCGATTCGCGACGTCGCAATTTATCCTTCCTTCGATCGCCCTTTTGCAGAACAGTGATTTTGAAATGGACGCCATTCCAAGCAGCACTGCAGAGGGGCCCGAAGATGCACGCTTCAGCCATGTTCGCTCGTGTTTCTCAGTTAGCTATTTTGGTGTGTTTGGGTGTGCAATGCATTCATATATACGCAGAGGTATCAATGCGGTATAGCTATCGCGAATGAGCATGAGCGGAGAAATAGAATACGTTTCCTGCTCGTCAGGTTCTTTTTCGCGCCTCCAGATCCCCCTCCCCCTATCCAGCCTCTCGCGGTTAACACGGTATAACCACTTTTACGTGGACGCAAAGTCTAAAGATGAACTAAAATTCAACAATACCTGCGTGTTACTTGTTAGCGATGATATTTGACTACACGCTCTTCCACTTTGAATAGCCTGTGGTCATGTTGAAGTGTAACACATACGTGATATGAAAAGACATCCTCATTGAGCTTTTTCCGTGCTTCGAACTAGACGACTGCAACTCACCTGCAATTCACAACGATTCCCCGACATGCTGACCGACAACCACACGTTAATCATGCTCTTTCGCCATTCTTTCAAAGGTAGTTTTATCTTGGTAATTACACGAAATCATTCAAACCGGTACGATGAAGATCAGACGCGCCGAGCCAGGGCAGGGCTAGACTGCACCTGTGCGCGCTAGCCCGGCCGTGAACGAGCGAGTGCGTTTCTGCACTTCGGCGCCAGTCGGCGCCATGATAAGAACACTTGGATCGTACACGTCATCACTACTAGGGCATCGTCACTCAGGATGGTATTTGTGGAGTGTATCACACCGAACACGCAGCAATAGTGTCGATGTCGCAGGGGAGTCTATTTTTCGTTTTTTTCTCCTTAGCGCTTTTTACGCTGTTTGACATCGAATGAAAATAATTTCCACGTGACGGACGCCTTTCAAATTTGGCCAAGAAGACCTATGCATACCAAGTGATCGAATGATGGGCACATCTTGATCTTGAAATTTGATGTCAGTGCTCCTTTAACGTCTTTGTAAGAAACGTGTTGCGTGGGAAATTTCCGATTCTCTTATCGTTCATTAAAGAAATGTGGGGTCCTCGTGTCGTTTTGCCTTTACAGTAAAACATGACGGCGATGTCAACGGCGGAAACTCGTCGACAGTGTTATATGATATTTATTGCTTTAAAATCATCCATATCGAAGGCCCATTCACCGCATCAGGGGAACAACGTTCCTACACGAAGCTTAGAATGTACAGCTTGTTTCATTATAGCATTCATTGAACATCAGCGGAAAATCCGAATGGAGTGACGTCATTTTAGATTACAAAAAGAAAGAAGTTGAAGGAAAGGCACACGACTATTCCGTAAAATTCGTGGGATAGCATGCGAACTGCGCTCTACTGTAACGTGCAACAGAACCAATGCAAGGGTTTGTTTAAATTTTTTTCACTGCTAGGCTGCTTCCTTGCAAAAGACTTGAGAAAATGATAAAATGGTTATATTGTATATTGACTTTTTAACAATTTCTTCCTTTAGCAGTTACTATTTATGTTCAGGATTTGGAATTGTGACACTGAGAAGACGTCGCCAGTGCTTGTGTCACCACGGCAAACTTCACGACCACTCCTTGAATTACATTCGCCTTAGTACGGTTGCTATGACTACCCTGGTGAAAGGAGGAAGAGAAAGGGCAGCGGTTATTGGTGATTTGCTAGCGTGGCAGTCCACGGCAATGACAAAAAAGTTTAAGTGCTTGGGTTGGTAAGGGAGACGCTCAGGCTTCATTCGCACTATTTTAATTTTTATTCTATTGTCTGGGCATACTCAGACGTTAGAATTTCTGACAAATTTGTGACAAATTAAGGAATACAATAACCTTTTGTCGCCAAATTATCTTATTTATTTATTTATTTATTTATTTATTCACAAATACTGCAGACCCTGTTCCGGGCCAAGCAGGAGTAGGTAACAAATATCAGTAACAAAACAGAATATAAAAATATAATAAAATACAATACTAGGTACAAAAATAAGAAAATTCTCAACATCAGGAAAAATATCAATAATACATAGCAATAATGGCATACATACTGAAATACAAAAAAATCTCAGCACTACTAAGGAACACAACATATCGCACATTAAAAATCAAGTGTTAGGTAATTGACGAGATGGGCCAACGATTGTGCCGTGTCCACATTAACGACCTCCTGATGTAACTTGTTCCATAATGAAAGAGCATGAGGGATTAATGAGTACAGATGGACGTTCAGATGACTGAATGGTTGTCTAACTGTTTTATTATGATGAATACGGTCAAAGTGCTCGGACGGGTCGGTTATGTAGCGATTGGGTGGAATTTTGAAGTGACCATGGTTCAATTGATAGATGAATTTTATTCGAGAGACTATTCTACGATGAGCGAGTGTTTTCAGACTTGCCTTCTCGTGAAGGGCAGAGACGCTTGCAAAACGAGAGTAGCCAGAATTAATGAACCTCAGAGCCAGGTTTTCGTTCCTTTCTATTTTTTTAATTGAGTATTTTTGATACAGTGCCCAGATCAGGTCTGCATATTCTAACTTAGGCCTGATAAGCGCTTTGTAAGCTGATAGTTTTATAGAAGGTGAAGTGTGACGCAGTTAACGTTTTAAAAGTGCTAACTTCTTTAGCGCATTGCTAGAGATGTTATCTGTATGAGTTTCCCAATTTAAATTGCTTATAAGCGTAAAACCGAGATATTTCCTTTGCGTAGCCTTTTTAACATAACCGTTATTGATGGTACAATGGAATGCTAATGGGTTTTGTTTGTTCGTATATGTGATGAATGTCGTTTTTGATGCGTTGAGCTTCAAGCCCCACTTATCACACCAGGCGCAGATGGATTGCAATGCATCGTTGAGTCTTGCTTGATCAGAATGCTCAGCAATGTAGGCATAAATAACAGAATCGTCCGCAAAAAGTCGGATTTTCACGGGTGATTGAACTGAGAAATAGATATCATTTTTGTACACTAAAAACAATAATGGTGCAAGCACAGATCCATGCGGCACTTCTGAATGTACATCTAATGAGTCAGAAACGCCGTCATTTACCATCACATATTGTTTCCGTGATTACAAATAGCATGCAACCCAACGGACAATGTTCTGATCAACACCAATCGCTGACAGTTTCGTAATTAAATCATCCTGTGGTACTATATCAAACGCTTTAGAAAAATATAAAAACACTGCATCGATCTGGCCCTTAAAGTTTAGTGAATTTGCAAAGTCGTGAGTGATCTCAGCTAATTGAGTTGAAGTGGATAGGCCAGACTTGAATCTCTGGTGATTGTCGTGTTGGTTATTGAACTAATTTGAGGCCCTCCACAACAGCAGTCAGCACATTTCAGGCGCTAAACTCTACAAACATGAAAACCATGTTGAAAGCACTACATCCTGAAAATTCAATATTGCTGAGAGAAAGTATGATATGTATCAAACTATACAATATGCCCGAAAATGAAAAAAAAAAGAGGAAAATATTTCACGTACCTAGAAAAACAGAGCATGCAAACTAGCAACATTATTGCATATCCCTTCATGGTCGGGGTCTTAAAGAAGCCGCACAGTAATTGTGAAATTTACCCGACTGATTATTCCACCATTTATAGTACTCTTTTCATTCATCGCCTCATTGCCTAATAGAGAAAAATTTGAAGCCATGCGTCACATTGTAAAGCTGCCACCTGAATTGCCGATATCATTGACGCATGACTTTTGGCACATGACGCATAACTATAGACGCCAGGACTTTCATTTAAATTATTTCGGGAAACAATAGACGAACCGTAGCCGCTGCGAGAATTTCGATAGTGGTGAAATGTGAGAGGTTGGGCACTAACAGTAAGGCACACAAACTTCTCTAGCCTTTCACTACAGCTTCCCTCATAATGTTATCATCGTTTTGGCACGTAGAGCCCCAACAATCAAGACGATACACAAAAAATAGCTGAAGCTGGAGAATGAAGTATCATTTACCTTGTGCAACAGAGCCCACAAGGTTCAATTAGGAGACAGAATGTTGTTCATATCACGTCTGTAGTTTATTTTAAAGGACCAAAGAGTGACAAAGAGAAATATATTTTCATTCTGACTTAACTCACCTAAGGTCTCCAATAATTTTGCACCTCTGGTCTTCGCAAATATCGAAGGCGCCAATGGTCAATTTCCTCATTTTATAAGGAATTCAAGGTTTCCGATTCAATAAACCCTTTCGTAGACATAAGCATTGGTCAACGTGCTAAGGATGTCGGCGCACCACGCAGCCCACATTTTTATTTATTTATTTATTTATTTAGGAATACTGCAGAGTCACTTGATTCCAAGCAGGAGTGGACAAGAAAAAAAGTTCATCAAAGGAACACATCAACAAATAATTATCAACCAAAACATTAAATCAACGCATGAAACACTGCAATCCAAAGAATACAGCAATGCGAGTTGACTCCGAGCATTAGTGGACAAAAAAGAAAAAGTACATCAACAGAACACATCAACGAATGATTAGCGACCGAAACATGAATCACCGCATAAAACACTGATATTGAAAGAATGCAGCGTTTCGAGGACAACTTTACCCACACTTTTTCCTCAAGTGCGTAATAAACACTTCTATACTGGGGCTATCTACAACTTCTTTCGGTAGTTTGTTCCAGGCGCTTATGGTTTTCGGGAAAAAGGAATATTTGAATGCATCGTTCCAAGAGCTGTATTCCTGTATCATTTTCCCGTTATCAAAACGTGCACTTGTGCGCAGTGTGTAATGTATTTCTGATTGTTAATTTTTATTACACTTTTGTATAATAAATACAAGTATATTAATCTATTTTAGGCACGTCTCGCTTTAGGTGTATCAAGGCCAATATAATTCAGCATCATTTCAACTTCACTACATTCGACGTCTGGCCGGTCTTTTGCAGACAACGCTCGCCTCATTCGTGGGTTGTGTACGACATGTCTACAAGACGTGGAAGTATCACTGCAGGGAAATACGGTGAAAACATGATAACGATTATGATGATGGCATAAACGCATGACTCACATCCACTCTGTGGGATTGGACAAGAAATGATTATTTAGACAGTATATAACATATTACTTTTAAATGTAATAATTTTTTTTTAAAAGTTGGAAAAAATTAAACTTTACTAATTGAAAGATTTGTAATTAAAGCCACCCTGATTCGATTAAAAAGGTTCGAACAGCAGAACAGCTATACCGGTGAAAATGACCTATTAGGGGACTCCCAAAGATGCAATGTTAGCAATAATCAAATCGAATCTAATTCGATAAAAAACAGCTTCAAGAATGTGTTTTTTTTCTCAGTGACTTGAACCGACTACACCAGAAAAACTAATGCTCGATTGTTTCATCCTTGTTAAAGAATGAGCAAATAGGGGAAACATCCAGACCAGCTCGGCGCACGTAGTAATTAAGTTTTGAAATTTTACAGCGCAATTTCGTAAAAATAATTTGCCTGTTGACCAGAACTTCCTTCGCCAAAGGAACAAGAGGTGTCAATATTCGTTTAGGGGAGTAAATAATGTTTTACCAGAGTCTTCTGCTATGGTACGCCTTCTAAATCTGTCACGTATTGCCAATCTACCGGCAAGCTTGATTCTTTACCTGTCCCACTACTTATAGACGCACATATCCACATTAACACCAAGCCTCTTCTGACTTTTCAGTGACACCTGTAGTGAGAACACAACAACGGCTTTTTTTTCAGCGCCGTATCCACCTGCCGCTGTCGCTGATCTCCGTAACCACTATTGCGCAAAATGAGAAACAAAAACAAAATAAATGAAAAAAATCCCTCCATCTCCACGAAGTGCATGATGATGGTGGTGCTTGCTCGAAATTGATCGGGATAACCTGCGAATTTTCGTACAAGTTCGCTATCATCATATAAAGACGTGACACGTTGTTGGACGGGTGATTGTATATGCACTTATATATACACTGGATGTAATCATTTACATGTCGATGCAGTTATATACGCGGTTTACATTACTGACTACGAAGAGGTGCCACGCGTTTTCCTTCATACACTACAATACTGCGGGCGGTGAAGTATGGGGCGAAATAGTCTTGAATATTGATTAAAAGGTTCCAGTTTGCAGTTGCAGAAGGCAGTGTCGGTACTACGTCTCACGCCGAGGTTCTCTTGCAGCCGCTAGCAGGCCGCCTCTGCTTCACGGGCTCCCAATTCGGGATCCTACTCTCAACAAACTAACTGCGCAGCACGAAGTGCACATAAAGCTTCACAGATGTGTAGTGGGTACCTGTTTTACCAGCAGAATGACGGATGGCATAGGGGCACAATGGGTCCTGCCATACAGTTTCCTAAAATTAACTAGAGGAAACTCTGGCGCTGCGATCGCTCAGCGACCATGGGAATAGCGGGTGGTACTCGGATTTTCCTAGTCTTCGTTTGAAGGTGGCAAATCGCACTTGTTGCTTCGTTTATTGCAATGTTTTGGTTTTGTTTTGAAGGAAAGAACTAAAGCTTTTGAAATTCGTGACCCAGGCTGCTACGCGGAAGGGCCCGAGCTTCTCGGACAGACGAGTTTGCTCCGAGCTCGCTCTGTGGCGGCTATGGCATGAAGACAGTGCGGAGAGCGTGATAGCAGAGTTCGTAAAAATGGCCACAGGAACGCGCGTGACGTAGTAAACGCATATGGGACACTTGGAGTGGTTATCAAAGAAACACCGCGTGCAAATATGCAAGCGCTGTCACTCCGTCAACATTTTAACAGTGCAGCGCCATCAAAGTGATCGTAGCGCGATCTTTTTGCCAACCCAACACGCGCCTCCAACAGGGGTTTTCGTGGGCGTATGTCTTCTTTCGGACAAGTTCTTTCGTTCCACCTGTAGCAGGAAAATTTCCACTCTCGAATGCAGCAAGGGTGCACACGCAGCACTCTTGTGCTGCTCGATTCGCTTCTATCAAATATTGCAGATAAATATTAGGACAGATGGCCACTAGGGGCACTCGCGTCATGGCGTCGACGATATTAAAGAGTTTTAGCAGAGCGGGCCAGCGGCCAGCGAACCGGAGCGGACGAGCGCAGCGCCAGCGGAACGACGCGCGAAAAAAAGAGTTTTAGCTGAGCGATCGGCTGCTGCCCCCAGCGAAGCGTTGTACTGCGCCATCTGTCCATTCAAATTTGAACTACCCTGATAAAAAAAAAAAGTAAAGGTTTATTTTTTAGATGCTAAAACCACAATACAAACACGAATTTTATGTTTCAGTACATATTATTTTACTTCAACGGTGATTTGTATCTTTTAGCGAAGTCGTTAAACTGAGGAAAGTACGTCACCAAGCCAACTGAAGTCGAAGCTCCAAGCCAGCTGTTTGTTGCCGCGCTTTTTAACAGACAGTGTGTGGCTTGCCGCTGCAAATTGCCGCTGATAACTGCTTTGAACAATGCCCCAGAGCATACTGCAGGACCCCCTGCTCCTGACTCGGTTGAAATGGTCCGAAATAGTCGACGTCTTGTGCTTAGAAGTTCTGGGCGAGACACGGCGTGACCCACTCTCCATGCGAGGTCTTTTGGACGTTGATGCGATCAATAGTGGCGTGTTCAGAACGTACTTTCGGTTGGAAAAGAACGATGTACCCAGGCTACAGAGAGCCTTGTGCATACCTGACAAGGTAACAACTCCGCAGAGGGTGTCAGTTCCCGGCGACGAGGCCCTTTGCATCACGCTAAGAAGACTAGCCTACCCAAACCGGCTGCGCGATCTGGAACACCTTTTCGCCCGACACAGCTCGACCATATCGTCATTGACGAACGAAGTGCTCAGGCACATCGAGGACAACTTCTTCCACCTTCTGGACGACGTTAATAACCACGCGTGGCTGAACCTGGACACCGTGGAAGAGTTCTCACAGGCAAGCGAGAATAATTAGAGTTGTACATTTGCAATTACAACTTTCTGACATATTCGTTCGGTATTTTTTCAGGCCGTTCTCGCGAAAGGTACCCCGCTGACAAATTGCTGGGCCTTCATCGATGGCACGGCGCAGCCAATATGCCGACCAACAAGGAACCAGAAAGTGTACTTCAGCGGCCACAAGAGAGTCCACGCCCTGAAGTACCAAGCTATAATGTGCCCAAATGGCATAATCTACCAGTTGGACGGATCATACCCCGGCAGCAAACACGATTCAGGCGAGTAAATGACAAGCACAGCTGGTGGATCAAACCGCTGCTGAACGTCACTCGCCTTCTCCTTCCCTGCTAGGAACGGGCGCAGCTCCGGCTAATCGTAATTTATTCTTTCAGGTAACTTTGGAAACAGCGCCGCGTATACAAAGCTACAAAACCTCGTTCAAGGTCACGACTGCTGCATCTACGGGGACCCTGCCTACCCGTTGCGGCCCCTTCTGCTCAAGCCCTATGGCGGAGCTCTCCTGACTCCTGAACAATTAGCTTTCAACAAAGCCATGAGTAGTGTGAGGCAGGCTGTGGAGTGGGGTTTTGGAAAAATTGTCGGACTGTTTGCCTTCGTGGACTTCAAAAAAAAAAAAACCAGAAACTCTACCTTCAGAACCTTCCACGCATATACAAAGCGAGCGCACTCCTCGCAAAC